GTTGTTCCCGCGTAACAGCGTTGCCGTCTCGGTGCGCCCCTGAAAACACTACGTAAAAACACTAGGCAGAATGCCCTCGTCGTTCGGACTTCGCAGGGCCGCGCCAGCCGCTGGAGCGCCCGCTCACGAGACCTCCCTGGTCACACACGTACTGCGCGGATGTGACGTACTCACGTACGTAATGCTTCTCCGTAGTGTATGTTTTGCGTAGTGTTTTTACGTCATGTTTTTTGTTCTGCGTAGTGTTTTACGTAGTGTTTTTACGTAGTGTATTTTTATGCGTAGTGTTTTTACGTAGTTGTTTTTTGCATTTCACCCTTCAAATTTCCATTTCACTATTAAAATTTTGATTTCACCATTAACCACAACCGTCGTGTTTTTTATATGTGTTTGGGACACTCGGTTTTGAAACCCTCACGAAGCCGAATGTTTTGGAAGGATTTCGGCATGCGCGCGCGACAACGCGCGGGGGTAAAAACTTATGATTTGTGAAAAACGAGTGCGCGCGCATCATAATAATGTTTGCAGGGGATGGCGGGGGGGCGGATGCCGGCCTGGCTGGGATGGTACGAAGTCATATCCAGGATGGACGATGGGGCAGAATCAGATGCACACTGCACCACGAGAAGGGGATGGGACAACCCTGGGGGGGGGGGAGGGAGGAGAGGAGGAGGAGGAGGAGGAGGAGGAGGAGGAGGGGGGGGGGCCGGGGGGGGAAGGAGGAGGAGGAGGAGGAGGAGGAGGAAGGAGGAGGAGGAGGGAAAAGGGGAAACGGCGGAGAGGAGGAAAAGGAGGAGGAGGAGCAGGAAAAGGAGGAGGAGCAGGAAAAGGAGGAGGAGGAGGGCGAGGGCGAGGAGTCTATTCTGCTCTTAGAGTCTACTTCGTGCAAGCTGGCGCACGTGGCGCCCACTGGGCGCCCCCGGGCGCCCGACGGACGGAACCCTCGCGCGCCAGCTCGGCGCACGAGGCGCCCCACCGGCGCCCACGAGCGCCCACCGGCGCCCACCCCCCGCACATCCCACCACGCGAGGCGACCAGGATGCGCCCACGGGAGCCCACCAGGCGAAACTCCGAGAGAGCACATCCAGCCGCGCGAGGCGACCAGGAAGCGCCCACGGGAGCCCACCAGGCGAAACTCCGAGACACACACACACACACGCACAACATCCTGCGCAAGGCGCCCATGAAGCGCCCACAGGTCGAAACCTCGACACACACACACACAATTACTGTGGAGAGCAACTGATACCCCTTGGTGCAACCACTGTCTGTAAAATCACTGAAACACCATCGGGTTTGAATGATCTGGCTTTTCAGTGACATCCTTGGGAGGCTTGCGCCAGGGTGGCCCAAGATGCCCTAAGATGGCCTCCACGATGGCGCAAGATGGTCCAAGTCGGCTTGAAGATGGCCTCCAGCATGACTCCAGGAGGCCCCAGGATTGTTCCAAGTGGCCTCGGAGCCACCCACGGACACCCCAAAATATTCAAGCATCACTCAAGCCGACGGGGCGACGCTAACCAAGGACCCCCCCTTCCTGAATCGATGGTGGCCTGGATCGGCCCAGGAAGGCCCCGAAAGCCCCCAAGGGGACCCCAAGAGAGTGAAGAGGGCCGCGCGAGAGCAACAAATGCTTCTAAAATGCCTCTCGAGATGGTCCAAATAAGCTTCCAAGATGTTCCCGTATCGCAAGATCCGCGACGGCATTTATGGTTGACTCCTGGGCCTGCTCAGGCTGATCCCCAGCTTCGGCTTGACGGCTGCCTCCCTCTCCGTTCCGCGACTTGCTCCTGAACTACGGGTAACGGCGAGGGGGCGCAAAAGCCGCCAGGCCAGGGCAGAACGATCGACCACGGCATCGCAGCCCACTGTTGACGCCTGTCTCTTTTGAGGGCAATGTGGCAGATGAGTCGCGGGTCGGTCGCGGGGCGATAGCGGGAATGGGCCGCGGGGTCGGGGCGCGAGGGCGGGCCGCGCATGGGTCGCCACGCGCTCTCTTCGGCCCGATCTCGCTCCGATTTGGATGCCGGTTCAGTGTCAGCGTCGGCTCCGCCTCTGGCTCAAGCCTGAGCTTGAGCTTGAGCTCTACGACGTCGCTTCGGCGGTCAGCGCTATGCTTTCGCTTTTGATCTGCGGGAGCGCCTCGGAGCGCCACCCTGCCACGCGCCAAGACCTCCCAGAGAACACATGCGCAAGATGACCAAGGCGAGTGTCATCCCGTAAATCATCATCGTCACCACATACAGGGTCCTCCTCCTCCTCCTCCTCCTCCTTCCCCCCCCCCCTTGCTCTCCTCCTCTTGCTCCTCCTCTACCTCCTCCTCCTCCTCCTCCTCCTCCTCCTCCTCTTCCTCCTCCTGCTCATCCTCACCCTCGTTTTCATCTTCGTCGTCTTCAGGGTCGGCGGCACCGGCAGTAAGGCCTTCGCAATCATCATCGTCACCACATACAGGGTGGGATTCAAACTCAAGCCCGCCATTCGCCACAAATCCACAAGCAGGCAATCTCAAATCCAGTATCAAGCCATCAGGCACAGCAGGAGCAAAACCGCTGACCAATCGGGAAGCAATTCTATAACGATCCAAATTTCATGGGACACCACCGAGATGCAGTCGAGCAACAATCGGTACAACATCAAACTCAATATGAACAGTCGGAGCGCAATCGAACATCACTTGGGACACCATCGGAACACGATCGAAACACAATCAAAGCACAGTGGGGACACCAAGAGGATGCAGACGAGACACGCCATCGTGACATCACCGCGGGACACAGTGGCACACCACGCGACGCTGTCTGCAAGCAGGAGGAGGAGGAGGAGGAGGAGCATGACGAGGAGAGTAGGTCGTACAAAGACGGATTCAGGTGCGGCACTCGCGAACAGCTTCGCGCGCACGGGACACGCGGCATGAGACACGAAACACGAAACCACGATTTCCCAGTGGGGCCGGCCCCGCAGCGGCATCGTTTAATACCCGAGGGGGGTGAAGAAATGAGGGAGAAGGGGACAGCAGCTGGTGACTGTTCCACGCTTCTTTACACTATGGCTGTACACGTTGGATGTCTCGTGCGAAAACCCATTTTGAAGAGGAGTCGTCCTCAATCCCTGTGACTGTTGCGCACAAAGTTACACCTCTGGTCGTAGATATTGAGGACGCCTCGGGCGAGAACCCCGTTGTGAGAAAGAGCTGCCCTCCGTCCGCCAGACTCTTGGAAACTTTCAAGACGAATGTGCGCAGCGCTGTGGCGAGAGCTACACGTCGTTCATCTCTAACCGTGCTCGTTTCTGATCGTGCTCGTTTCTCATTGTTCCTGGCCCCCCAGTGGCCAGGAAGAGGCCCAGGACAGAACAAGTAGAAATAAAAGGATCTTGGCCCCCCAAAAAATCAAGGAACTCTCGAAGGAATTGACATCAACAACGTGTACATTCTGCAAAAGAGCCGCCCAGGAGGCGAAGGAGGAGGAGGAGGAGGAGGAGGAGAAGGAGGGGGAGGAGGAGGATTTGGAGGGGGAGAGAGAGGAGGGAGGAGAGGAGGAGGAGGAGGAGGAGGAGGGAGGGGCGAGAGGGAGGAGGAGGGGAGGGAGGAGGAGGAGGGAGGTAGGAGGAGGAGGAGGAGGAGGAGGAGGAGGAGGAGGAGGAGGAGGAGGAGGAGGATCCGTCCTCGAGGCTGTCGGAAGACTCTACAGGGCGCCTGTGCGCGCCCACCCGGCGAGACGCACGCGTCGAGCACGGGCCGCCCTCCCTTCGCGCCAGGGGGCCTCCGAAGCCTCGGCCCCGGGGCCGCCAGCCCCGAGGAGGTGCCTCGGGCGACGCGGCACGCCCGGAGGCCGCCCTGCCAGCACACCTCTCTCGTGCGCTGCGACGGGGAGGTGCGCGGCTCCGTGAGGACGAGGAGGGGCGGAGGAGGCGGACGGAGCAGGCGAAAAGCGCAGGAGGTGGCGGAGGAGGAGGCGGAGGAGGAAGAAGAAGAAACTGAGGAGGAGGAGGAGGAGGAGGAGGAGGAGGAGGAGGAGGAGGAGGAGGAGGAGGAGGAGGGGGAGGAAACTGGGGGGTCAAGAAGGTGCCGATACCGAGGCTCCCCAGAGCTCTCTTTAGGGATGTGTTCTGGCCGAGACGTGGCGATGAGGCGGCGGTGGTCCTCGTCTGAGAGACGGAAGAGGGCGGAGGGGAGGGGGGGGAAGGGAAGGTGAAGGGATGAGTGGGAAGGGCCAGGGGCCGACGCCAAGATTTGGCTCACAACTTCGACCCCAGAAGGTCTGGGCCCATTCCTCGGGGCCGGCCTTTTTCGGCCCGAGCCTCTTTTCTTGATGATGGCCCCGGGGCCCGGCGAAGGGCCCCCCAGAGGCCGAAGAGGACAGAAGACCTCACGTCGCGATGTTTGGTGTGACGCGGAGGGGGAGAAAGGCCTGCACGGAGGCTGCTTCGGGCGAGAACCCCGTTGTGAGAAAGAGCTGTCGGGGCCCGCCTTCTTCGTCCCGAGGCTCCTCTTTTTGATAGTCCCGATGTTTGGTATGACGCGCAGGGGAAGAAAGGCCTGCACGGAGGCCGACGGGCGCGTCCTCGCTCTGCACCGCCTTCCGCTTGCCCAGCCGGGCCCTCGCCACGTCCAGCAGCAGCGCGGCCCACTGCTCCGCGTCGCTGCGGCCAGGCGCGGGGCGCGGCGCACGCACCGCGCGGTGCGGACGGGGCAACCGGGGCCACGCGGGCCGCAGGGTGCGGTCGGGGGCCGGGGGGCGCCTCCTCACGTTTGTTTGGAAAGGACATACCGTCGGGGCGTTGACCTAAGGAACCCTAAATGAGGAACGAGGCCCCTTTTCTCCATAAGTTAAACTTCGATTTCCCGTCGAAGACATAAGGAAAACCTGCGGCAAGCTGCGAAACACTTAAGGAACGCGGAGCCCCTCCACAACGAAAAGGGTTCCTTCTTCAGGGCCCCGACTGTAAGCCGTACGGCACTTGCGGTCACGTCAGGGGAAAATTCCAAATCACGACTTGGACTGAGAGGGGAACGAGCAGAAGGGAAGAGAAGGCCAAGCCCGCGAGGGCACAGAGTATTACGCATTCGCCTGGTCGAGGGGGTGACGGAGGCGAAAAAATAGTGCCAGTGTAACCAAGTGACAAGTGGCACGACCGAAGGAAAACCTCCTCCTCATCATCTTCGTCCTCCGCCCCTGAGATCCGGGCGTTGCATTTACTTGTTCACACATAGCGTCTTCGCAAAATTCCGTGCCCTTGGCCCTTCACAAACCGATCCGGCTCGCAGACCAAACCGCGAATAATGGATGTCTAGCTCCAGTCGTGCTGTTTCGCGGTGTTGCATGTCTCGCAACGTCGGAACTCAGGGTTCCGATGCTCCTCGTCATCCTCGCCCTCCTTTTTTCCAGGTCCCCCTCCTTGCAAACATATTTTGTCGTCGTCGCACCACGAGGCGCGTCGGCAGGGCGGCCTGGGCGCGTCGCATGGAAATTCCTCGCAGCTTGTATTCCCAAAGACTGAGAGGTCCAACTGCTACGCGGGTGGAAGGCTAATCGTAATCAGAAGCTGGCTCTCGTCAGATAAATGCTAGCTTGTTTTTCCCCGTCGCTTGAAACGTTCGAGGTTTGCAGGGATGGAGGGCACATGATTTCAAAATCTGATACTCGCATGAGTCCTTCCTATCTGCTCCGCGTCCCCAACAAGTGCGCACGGAGTGTGGGCCGCGCGTAGGTCCCCAATCCCTCCACTGCCGACCACATGGACAGCGAACGGAAGGTCATGAACGACATGCTGCTGACAGCGTCATATGTTGAACTGATGACAGTGGCGCCGAGCACGACGCCTGGGGACATGGCTCCGATGCGTTGAGATTCGTGCTATTATAATGCGCCCTACCTCGCACGCACCGGCGCCAACGCGCCACTCCCGGGCACGTTTGCAACATATCTCGCTCGCTTCCGTGCGGCATGTGCTGCTGTTCGCGCGGAAGGGGGCGCGGACGCAGCGCGCGGGATGCACAAGGCAATCGTCGGAATTACGCAGTGAAGTCTGTCATCGCCCGCCGCCTTCTCCCCCTCCTCCTTCTCCTCAACGGCAACACCACACCGAACCAGCAAATCCGCACAGGCAAACCGCAAAGTGCCAAACACAATTCTAAACATGGGAGTGCCAAATCCAAGCAGCGCCCCTGCGCTTCGCGGGCGCGGCACGGAGGGGAAAGGAGGCAATGCCCGTGCCTGTTTTCACCAAGCGCCCCCATTTTTAACCATTAACCTCCTTTGGGCACCCTCTTGCGAGCGCGAAGCTTGGCCTCCCAGGCTCGGATTCTCCATCTCGCAAGTCTCCCGCCAGTGGCGAGTCGGTGCTGGTGCCTTCGCCTCCGCGCACTCTCCTTGATTCCTCCTCGAGCATCTCGCCCCTACTTCCGCCCCAGTTCGCACTGCCCCACATCGCAACGACAGAACATGCGATTTGCTAACTGCACGCTAGATTCAGCTGCGAGTGGCACGTTGCATGCTTCTCTGATGCTGACAGGGGGTGGTCGAAGGGCCAACGGGGGATGACATTACGATGCGGAGGTTTGCTAGGCCTGGCCGACACTGCCAGGGGTCCAGGCATGTGCATGGGCATCGAGTTGCGGGCTCTGCTCGGTCAACTTGGGACGCTCTGGCAGCGCCTCGAGGCTGCCAGGCAGATCTGAAAAGCAACAGGGCAGAGGCACAGCCACAACCCCCCCACGTTTCCCCCCCTTCCGAACTCCCCCCTTGAACTCCCCTCCGATCTCGGCTGCTCGGTGGTGCAGCAGCGCTCAAGCTTCGAGAAGGGAGATCTGATGAGGAAAGGGAGGGGATACAAAATCACACTGGAAGCAATACAACATACTCTATATCAGAAAAAAGCGGGCGGCGGAGAAAGAAACCTGAAACAGTAACTGACGTATCGAAAGAAACGGCGGCAAGGCGAACCAACGAATTCAAATCAGTTGGAACTCCCCGACAAAATTTGGCGGCGAATCGTCTTGTGACCAGTGCGGAATTATTCAGGCGGGCTGCGTTTTGCAATCCGTTGAAAAAACTACAACGAACATAACAACACATAATATCTTAGGCGGTCGTGGGACTCTCCCGAGAAATATTTGCAATTCTATTAAAAAGGCGCACCGCGTGACGCGGAAGTGCGATATTTCTCAATTCCCAACCAGACGAAACATTTCAACCCGCCCGCGGGCGCAACCGTAATCTCAACTAGGCAACAACAAAATGGCGGCGGGCTCGCCGGCCAAAATCAGTTCAAAATGGCGGCGGCGGGGGGGGGCGCCCCCCAGTCAGTACTGCAGTGAGCACCGAAGAAACCGTAGTGATAATATAAAGACAGATGAGAGTGGAGCAAGTGCGGCAATGTACTGGGATCGAGTACAGCGTCTCTACGGTGGGAAGCAGGCTACGGGACGCATCTGTCGGTCCTAGCTGTTGCTGTCCACCTGCTACTGCTCTCTGCCACTACCTGAGACCTGGAGCAGTGTTCATGGAAACGCGGATGGCCACGGGGAGCTGCTCACACAACTTGGACGCTCTGTAAGCGCCCCAACCTTGCCCTTGCCGACTCCTTCACGCAATTCCCAACCCAACAACTCCCAAGCTCCCCGTGTCCCTATCCTCCTCGCGTGCCATTCTACACGCGGCACGAAGACCTCTGCAGCGATCGTGCCTGGTGTCAAGGGGTAGAGAGAGGGCGAGGGGAGGGAAGATGTGTAACAGAGGATCAAAGGGATGGAGGTACGGAACCTACGTGCCCCGTCCGATTTCTTAGTGACACTTCTGACCTCTGCGTTGGTGTCCTCCTCACGCGGCTCGTCGGCGCCGCCTCATGGGCTGCTGCCCTCTATCTCGGTGCTCTCGGAGTTGGACGTACTGGCTCCGCTGAGGGCGGCACGGACGTCTCTCTCTCTCTTTCTCTCTCTCTCTCTCTCTCGAGAGAGAGAGAGAGAGAGAGAGAAAGAAAGAAAGAAAGAGAGAGAGAGAGAGACACACGTCAGGGTGGCCTACGCCGTTGCGGACCTTGCCGGATTTGCCCAGCATCGCAGCCAATCCACTCTCGCAGCGGTCCCGCGACAGCTGCTTGCACGCCTGCACAGAGATTATTTCCTCTTGTCGATCTCTTCCCTGCACGCCGCGGGACCGTCTCCAGCTGGATCCTGGGGTCGCCCAGGCCAGAACGACCAGCACCTCCAGCCGCATCGACTCCGGAAGTCGTGCCTCGGGCCGCCGCCGCCACCAGGGCCGTCGCCTGGTGGTCGGGTGGCTTTTCACGGGAGCTCCCAGTAATCATGTTGCTCTCGGTTAAATCCAAATAAGGCCAAAGAAGGCGCGCTGCGGCGCCTTAATTGGCCTGAATTGGCTTCAAAAATAACCTTAGATAGCAGCGGCATGTGGTTCCTAATCTGCCTCAATTGACCCTTTTTCTTACATGGAATGGTTCGCCGTGCGTTGATTTTGAGCTCCCATGCCTAGGGCCGCCACCGCCACCAGGAGGAGGAGGAGGAGGAGGAGGAGGAGGAGGAGGAGGAGGAGGAGGAGGAGGAGGAGGGGGAGGAGGAGGGGGAGGAGGAGGAGGAGGAGGAGGAGGAGGGGAGGAGGAGGAGGAGAAAGTGCAGCGTATCAGAGCGAGGCGAGCCGCCCCCGCAGCGCCAAAAGCAGCCTGGGCCACGGGGCCTCAGAGCTGCGGGGCGCCACCCTCGCGGTGTGTGCCATCGCGAGGCAACGCGAGAGACGTGGCGCCCGACCCGCGGGCGCTGGCCGCGGCCGCTCCGCGCCGAATGGCTTGAGCCAAAATGGCCACGGGACCCTCGTTCTCCTCCCCTCCTCCTCCTCCTCCTCCTCCTCCTCCTCTCCTCCTCCTCCTCCTCCCTCCTCCTCCTCATCCCCCTCCTCTCTCCTCCTCCCCTCATCTCCTCCTCCTCCTCCTCCTCATCATCATCATCATCATCATCATCATCATCATCATCATCATCATCATCATCATCGTCATCATCATCATCATCATCATCATCAGCATCATCATCATCAGCATCATCATCATCATCATCATCATCATCATCATCATCAGCATCATCACCACCACCACCACCATCATCATCATCATGCAGGGCCGTCGCAAGCTGCCCGGTGGCACATCCACCTGGCTAGCATCGTATTGTGAACTTGGAAGTGGGGGGAACCTCATATCAGCGCATGGGTCGAACCAAAACAACTAATTGAGCCACATGGTCACAGACGACATGTACGACAACGACGTACGTCAGAGGGCATGGCAAGCCCAAGCTCCTCGAGTCCAACCTCAGCAGCCAGACATGTGGTCGAAGGTAATGGGCCCGACAGGCGCGACCTCAAGGCTGCCAGGGTCCTCGGCTGGGTCAACTCATCAGCTTTAGACTGGAAGATGCAGTCGGGCGAGATCCTACATCTACGTGACACTTCACCATCGACGGTGCGCATGCTGGCCGTGAACGCGGCCCTGCAACGCAGATGGATGCAGTGGACCATGAAGCCTGAATCAGCTCCAGAGGTACGCCCACCTGCGACTGAGTTTCCCAGTTGATATTGGATTGTGCCGATCGTGGACCTCCTTTACGCAGAGAACAGATCGAAGTGGCAGCATTGTCC